TTTTTCGTTGACATTTTTTAAAAGATGTGCGACAGGTTGTTCAAATTATTCAGTTTGAACGAATCAATTAAGTCGTTTTATTTCGAAATGGGCAAAGTCTTATTTTAGATGTAATCAAGACTATTGAAAATTCGCTAATGCGCATTGAATCCAACAAATGTGCAAAAGAAGCGAGGAAGAAATAAAGAAATATGAAGGCGATTCACAAGGTGATGCACAAAAGTGAACGTAGTTTTGTAGGATATCGCAGGAGGGCCTTGGCCTCTCACGAGAAATATTCAGAATAGTAACGAGAAATCATCGCTTCGTTTCTTTTGACCTACGATTGCCTCCGTAGATATATTCATATTGCAACGTGAGAAAATTAGATGCGTAGATTAGATGCGCGATATTTATTAGTAATTAATACTCCGTCATAATCTAAAACATAATAAATGTGTCTTTAATATGAAAATGTTAACTGTATGACAAAAAAATACTGTATAAAAACTTCCTTGCATAGTCAATATTGTTCAAGGATATTTAGACAATACCAATTAAAAATTGTTGAAATTTAAAACGACAAAAAATTTTGATTGTGAACACACTCTGAAACAACTGCAAAAAGTAACAAATAATTTGATTTATAAAGTATGCTCATACAGCGCGATGGCTATATTTTTCTGCAGTTTTAGATAAATAACTTTTGAACAAGTAATCAAAATAAATTTGCACGAATATTTATTAAAATTTTATTAATACGTTAGAAAAATTGATTTAATTTGTAATGTACTACTTTCTGATTAAATAAAAATAAGTACTACGAAACGCGATTTTACATCAGAATCAATGCAAACAAAAACTTAAAATAATTTTGAAAGCGCCTTCTTTGGTCATGGCTGAATTTTGGTGCTTAATAAATTCTATATGAATTTTAAAAAATTTATTAACATATAGAATTTATTAGCCACCAAGATCTATCTATGACCGTAGAAGGCGCTTTCAAAATTATTGGTGTTTTACGCCGTCTAATTCAAATTAATATTGTTTAAAATAAATATAATTAATTTTTAAATATAAAAGAATTGTGCTTACAAATTTTACAATGATACTCAAACATAATAATAAAATAATCTATGAAATTTTTATATTTTTGACTGCTTTGATATGTGATACTTGTTCTTAATATTAAAAAATTCTTGACATATTTTTATTTTATCGTTTACGTATTACGTATTACAGCGCGGATACTAATGCGTAATATATGTTACGTACGCACTAATTAAATCTGTAATTATTCCAAGCATTTCCTATCTGCATATAGTAACGTCGTCATCCCTTTCTTTTGACTATAAATTTTTCCTTCCGGCTCTCATTTTATGTAACACTTTCGAAAAGTAAAAAGCTGTTGATCAACGTTGATCACGCGGGAATTACATCAATATTACAGTTTTGTTCTTTACCGATTTTCTCCACTGATTGCTATTTGGTCCAAATATAATTCCGTTGTCGGTATCTCACGTATGTCGATCTATTCAAGTTCCGCGTTACGTGACGCAAGTTATATGGTCATCGGAAATGCGTTCACATTATATATCTCGCGCTACATGTGTCGCTCGGCAAAATGAAAAAGATATTCTGTAAACGACCCATGGATTTTCCATAGAAATCGTAACTGCTATAAATAAAGCAAAATGAAAAAGAAGATATCTATAATCGAGTTGTGGACTTTCATGAAAATTGCAATCGTTGATTCCTGTTTGTAATTGGAATAAATAGAAAATGATTAGATAATGATTCTCTAATTTGTAAGCAATTAATTGTAAATATGCCTTACAATTATACATATATATGCACATATGTACACAACGTATGTAGCAATAACGCCATTAAATATGAACTATCCGAGACAAATCATCTTCTTTCATCATGAGGGAAAAATAATTGCTTTACCTGTTTTTTGCTGTCATTTCAACTTACTGACAAGTAATGGACGGAAACGCCGGGAGAGGAAAATCAATTCGTCAACAAAACACTCGCAATCCTTCCTTAGAACAACGGAAAATTACTATGTTGTAAACGCGATTTAATAAATGCATAATTGAAAAGCTAAGTAGGTAAAGATAGACAATATAATATGTATGAATTTGACGGAGGATTAAAAGTATTAAAATTATTTAAAGCAATCAAAATAATCTAAGCGGCGCGGCGTGACTCATCACCTCGAAAATGGAGAATCGAATTTTGATTCTGTCGGATAATGTTTCAAGAATAGTTACATACATTCTAGTACATTTCCACAGTAACAAAGTAACATTTAATTATATTGTACTGATTTGCACCTAGGTCTTTTGTAACCAGTGAAAACTTAGACGCACGCAACACAAATACTTGAAACGTATCGCTTTCGATTTTATTTTGCGGAAACTTTGAGTTTCGAGCTTCGGGTTTCGCTAGGAAATACGGTAGTACTTTGGGCAATGCCGTTCGATGCGTCATTACATGTCAGATGTTATCTGATTAATTACTCATACTCATTTGAAGGATATAATTTCAAATAAACTAAAATAAGATTTGATGTCAAGATAATTGAGTTTTAATTTCAGACAAAATAACGTGTGAAAAGATTATACTGAAGTTAACACGTACGTGAAATGGATACATTATAAGCATTTAAAATTAATTTGTTGAAAATATATATTTTCACATTTTGACTCTTTCTATGATACATACTTTTGTGATTTAGAAGAGAAAGTAGTTATATCTAATTAATGCAAATTTAAACGCACATAAATATACAAAAAAAAACACGTTGCGTTTATAAACCAATTTATTATTTCATCACGACAGAAATTTTTACTTTTTTAATTTGCTTATTTTATTTTAAAATATTATGAATATTATATCTTATATTCAATATGAGTTATGTAATATATATAATAAAGCTTTTATTCATAAATTTTTTTTCAATAAAAGCATCAGAGCTTTTATGCTTGATTATTCATTTTATGATCCCCTTATTGCTTTTTTACTCTAAGTTTTTATAAAAAATAAAATAGAATCAATTTAATAAATAAAATAAAAAAAAAAATCCTGGCTGTACTTTTATTAAACTCTGTGATAAGTAAAAATAATAAAATTTGTCCAATATATATCAGCATAAAATAAACGGGAATAGTGTAAAGCTGAGTATTCTTTTTACTAAACGAAGCGTATCAAAAGTGCATGCGCATTTTTATAATCCAAATTCACAGTGTGTTCCGTTTTCAAACGGCTTTGCTGGTAAAAAATAATTAAGTAAGAAAAATTTCACGTTAAACAGAGCAGGATGATAGACGCAATAGTCAAATACAATTTCTATCATTGACTCAATCTTATATCATTTTGAAAAAGCCGATAGATAAATTGGTAAGATAAAACGATTGGTAAACTAAATTAGGCCAATAATTAACTTTTTACGACGTTGTGCAATTGTACATAATAATACATTAATTGCATATATATATAATATATAATATATATATATATATATATAATATAATATAATATATCAAATACGTAATTCAAATTATCCATGGTTGTTCAATGTCAGCGATATCTAACTTGTAGGAAGTAAGTAATTTAGTATAGGCAAATAAGCGATAAGTACAAGTTTATGCAAAATTTCTAAATAAACGGTTCAAGGCGATTCTTGATGTAATCATAGACATATGCTTATAAAGGATATTCTGATAAGTAATAAGAAGTAGAATCTCAAGTATGAATTTGCGGTGTGCAAACGTAATTGCTCTCTTCTCACGCAAAGGGTTACCCGTCAAGACGCGTGCGGCAACGTGCTTGCGCAATGTTCTCTACTTCCTATTGTTATGATACACCTTGTTATAACAAGATTTATTACAAACATACTCGCAAAAACTGCTCACTTCAACCCTGAATTATAAAAAGAAGAACGCGTTATTATGAGTAAATGGCTTCGCTTGACAAGTATTTGTTATGACCTATTAGGATGTTCCATGACCTACGCGAGAGATGCCGTTTATGCGCGCTTTCATTATCGGCGTCGCGCCGTAATTATCCATCGCGACATCATTTTGCACTAATCGACGGAGATTTACATCAATAGCCTGTGTCATCAGAAAATGAGTAAAGTTTCACTGCTTTGTAATGTGAGTAAAAGTGATTGTTAGTAACGCATGGACGCACGTGATAAATAATAATCGCATATAACGGTAATTTGAAAGTATTTTTGTAATTATCTGTGACAACTTTGTAGTTGCAAGTTAAACAACACATCATAGCTGTGAACGCATCATGTGTCGAGAAAACAAATATGAATAATTTAAATAAATGTTCCAAGATATCTATTTCATAATTATCCGTTCATCTGTTACTCAAGATTTTATTCGCGTTTCAATCTTATGTCACGTCTTACGATACATTATCTATATACCTACATCTCTAACACAAATGTTGTTTCTCATACTTTAAGTAATTAATTATCGATTTTATCAATATTGTTGGATAGAGAGCTTTCCGCGGAGGGGAAGTAAAAATATTTAAAAATTACCGCAAATGAGAAATCCGATAAGGGAGAAACCTTGCTGTTTAATTATCCGTACGTGCGCATGCTATTTTAACGGAGATTTTCTTTCGAGATACAGATACTTTGCGGCTAAAAGGCAAATACTTAAAATGTTAAGTATTATTCTTATCCGGAAAATATCTGTCCCTAAATGCAAAACTTTGCTTGGCTGCGCAGCGAAGATGCTAAATTACATTGTTACATTCGAAAGTTCGCCACACGTGGCTACATCTCTTGACGGTCATCCTCGAAGTATTCACGTTTCGGCGATCGGAATGAAATTTATCGATGCGGTTGATCCCTTCTTCAGGATCTCCCGCGCGGACCTGACAAGAAGGAGAGAACGAGAGGCACAGACGTGGACATAAGTGTAGCGTGGAGGTGGTGCCCAGGCCCCTCCTTCTAATAAAAGCCGCTCACTAAGCGTCGCTACACAGACAGTAACAGAAAACCCCGAGGAGAGCAGGAGCCGCCGAGAGCTCCTTCAGGGCCCCCGCACGAGATCTTTTTTTTTTATTAAAAAAAAAGTTTGATTTTCACGGCAAACCGTGTGACGGATAATAACCTGTGCGTGGTGAGTTTCACACAAATCTTCGCGTTTCTAACTCGAGTTCAAGCGCCTTTTTCCGAGCCGCTGTGTACTCATCCTCAGTGTCTCATGAAGAATTTACCGACGACCACGTGGCGCGGTGGTGATAAGTGGGAAACTTTTGAGTTTCGTGTGTTCTCGGAAACGAGTGCAGGCAGGCAGAACTCGTGAGGCATTCCTGTCAACTTAACAACATTAGATATATCCAAAATAAAAGATTTAATTATTAATAAGTGAAAAAATGGCAAATTTACTTGTTGTCATCCACGCGAAATCACTACGGAATATTTTGGCATAATATAATATTCATTTATATTTAATCGAAAGTGCTGTTGAATAGCGATTTTTCAGAGAAATCTCTTTCCATCTGGACGCACAATTTCCTTCATAATTACTTATCTGATGAAAACTCTTGAGTTCTTTTCCGTACAAATAATAGTTTATAGAAATACAAACATAATTTTAAAAATATTATTTACCAGATTAATGTTATAAAGAATAATTTAAAAAAAAAGAATAGAGAGAGTAAAGAAAGGCACGGAAAAAAAGTTAGCGGAGTGAAAATCTTGAAATGGACCGGAACAACAAGTTCTAAGTGAAAATTGAAACTGACGACAATCATTGCACGATTCGTCAACGCTTAAGGAATATCAATTTTTTCCTTCGTACAAGAAACCTCTCAAAAAAATTCTCTTCGTATTCAGTCTGATTGCAAAGTTGTTTATTCCACTTTTTTGCATAAGAAGAAATAAAAAACAAATGTTTTCATTGTCACTTTCATTACTGTAATCTTTATTTAACATTTTTTTATTGTATGAGCAATTGTCTTCTCGAAAAGTAACTTTACGTATGTACAAAAATTTCAGAGCATATTTATTTCTGAGAGAAAAAATAGGAAAACATTTTCAATTTATTCATTATTATATTATAATCATTGTAAATTGCAATGGAGACGCCAATTACAACTACATAGATAGACTGAAGATGCCAATTAAAATTAATTATCTACGTGGCCTCGAAAATAGAATATTGCAACAGCGTCCCCGAGCAGACGTGATGTGTGCTGAATCTATATCGTCTTAATGCCACTGTATCGCCATGATCCATCCTCAGCGTGTCAAATGCACGTGTGGTTATTTGCACACCCATTGGCATGTATTGGCGAATTTCAAAATTACGCGTACTAATCAACAATGTTGATCAGTAAAGGCAAACATCTCGTGATCCGTCATCTTGTATTCCGTTTAACAAAATTTATTTTAATAAAATTACTTTATTTTTTTGTGTGATTAAACAATCTAAGAATAATTAAATACGTTTACTTCCTTTTGTCAACTACGGCGCAACTCAGCGTACCTAAATTTACATCACGAAACGAGCAACAATTTTACCTCGATTGCAAGAAGTAAAATTTTCGCGAAGATCGAAAGAAGAAACCACGTGAATTAATAAACATAATCCTGATGCGGATGTAAAGCGCGGTAGATACGAGTGTGTTTTATTAAAATCGCGATTAATTAAGAAGCTCACGCGCGCGCGCACGCCTTATCTCGCTTTTCCTCCCGCGCCACCTCCGAAGACGCCAGCAACGTTCTCCACTTTCATTCCGTCGAAAGTGATAGTCGCGAACGGATCCATGTTCGAGAAAGGAGAGTCATTGCGCCTCTCCCTCTCACCTCTTCTCACCGTGCGCCTTCTCGTTTCCTCCGCCTTGTCATGATCCTTACGAACGATTTCCGCTTTATCTTGCGACTTGTCTTTACGTGCTACATGGAGGGGAGAGAGGGGAGAAGAGGGGAGAAGTAAGAGAGAGACGTACTAAATAATATCTTAGAAAATCATGAGAGAAGTAGAATTATGACCCGTGAAAAATCTTTCACTTTCATCACGCGCGCATTGTGCCCAGATATTATTTATCTTGACGTCGCACGTGCTTCTAAAATAATCGCTATAGAGAAGTTTATACGAGATGTATCTAATACAAAGGTCGTTCCCGAGAAACTCGCGTAGTCGCGAACGTACCGATGCAAAGATTCGCTAAGTAACATTGAATGTAAAAAATAGAACTGATCGCGTGAGAAATATACGACACCGTAATGCGTTAACGCGCCTAATTGCTCTACCGTAATCGTGAATACCTCATGTTAAAGTAAATACATTGTATTCGCAGAATCCCATCCGCACGAATCCAAGATGAGGTTTATCATTTTAACGCTGACGGCTGCGCTTTGCCTCGCATTAGTGAGCTCGCATCCGCTTCCGGAAGCAGACGGACTACGATCAGAGGTAAGCACATGAGCGGCGCATCTCCGCTGCCTTTCTCTTTTAACATCGCCATCTATTTTGCGGAGATTAATTCGCGGCATTAACGGCCACTTCTCCCATGCATTATCGCTTAATTATCTAACACCGAATGGCACGTGGCACGCAACTAACAGAAATCCGAGGCCGAATTTCAAGAGCACGAAATTTTTACTATCTATATTTTGCAATTAGCGGCACAAGCGCTGATTCGATTCCTACATAAAATCACGCCTGACGATTACGATGATTTTCACTACACCATTGGATGGCAATTTCAAACATTTTTCCATTAACCTTTTCCATTAATCTTCTCTTCTTCATTGGTCTTATCTTCAGTTCTTTCCCGTATCGATTAAGGAGAAAGTCTGATTTGCTGAAAATACGTCGTAGAGAATTTCTCTGCGTCGACACATAGAAATTACGTATGATAATTATTAACCCATTGCACGATATGAGTGATCATGAAGCGCGAGATGACCCCTTCTCGAGCGCGAAAGTTCAAGTTACATTCCGATTTGCGAGCGTTAAGTGCTCGATCTAATATCGAATTGACCGATTCGATGGCCGAAGATGACATTTTACTTTCGACGAATCTTTCACTCGAACAATGCAACGAGACTTAATAATAATATGGACAAAACGGTGGAAAAACAATCGCGAGATTTTATGACTATGTATCGTGCCTGCGGTTTACGGAACCGCAAATAAGAATTTGTTTATTTAACAGCATGGAAGTCGGAAATGCTGGCAAACGCGGAATTTACTTTACTGTCCTAAGTGTTCTAAGCAATAAATGCATTTTATCACAAAAACGCTATGCTCGCGGAGTAAATAAAATTTTCATAAAACGGTGCCTCTATATTGAAATCGTGATGTAATAATGAAAATCTTTTACGTTTAAAATATTGTACGTCACACCGGAAATTATTCTGTAATTCTCGATTCTTCGAAAACGTGATATTGCGCGCTGTTATACGATTGCCGTTACGTTGTTACATGACTTTGGGAATCGTAGCTGTTACCTGAAGAGCTCACCTTTCTTTCATAGCTACTTGAACTTAGCGTTTACCGTAATTTATTGATAATTATCATTTACGTTTACGTAACGCCGCTACATATAACTACTTTGAGACCGTGTGCAATACGGGCACGTGTGAGAGTATACAACGGAAGAGCGGTCGTCAGCCGGACGGTTGCGTGGCAATAAGTACAAAGGGAGTTATTCGTTTGGAAAAAAAATACTATGCGGCGTAATGCCCGGGTACGAACGCCGCCGCCGTCGTGAAGAGTTCAATGTTTCGATTATGTGGCCGTAAAGTGGACGGTGTAACCCTCAAAGTATACGGTCCGACGAAAAGCCGGGTCGTCCGACTGGCTCTCGTCCTCGCTCCGACACTTTCACTGGCCGCGAACACCAGCGGAGTTACCGCGCGGACACTTTCTTCGGTCGATAGGCGCACGATGGAAAGCTGGTGCGTACGCACAAGTGCAATTTAACAACACGGTGTGATATACGAAACATTGTGTACAAACAAATCACCGGCTGCGCGCCTCCGATCCGCATTTTCGCTCGGTCGAAGGAGATAATGGGACGTGTGGGAGATATCGTGGGTGATATTAGAAATAAATATAGATACAGACGTAAATTACGAAGCATGTAAATAATTCTATTCCAAGTTCGTGAAAGATCCATTAGGATTTGCAGGGACAAGCCGTGAGATATAGAAATATTTAATTGGAGACTAGATATAATAGTACTATACTATATTAAATAATATGGTTTATACTAAAACGATTTTCTAATTATATAAATAATTGAGAGGTAGGATAGTAAGACATTAAAAATTGTTATGTGAGAAGCATAAGTGTTATAGAAGATGACGTGTGTTATATGTGTCAACTTTCTTACTCTCTACTCCTATAAGATTATATTTTTAAGCGCACGAAAATAAATTTACAAGCGAAATTTCTTGCCCAAAGCTTGGGACGAACGAATACGACGGCGATCACACGAATGTGAAACGAGGTTTGAGGGAAAGTGTACCATAATACTCCGGTTGAGCAACATTTGGGTTTGGTGGCCCCGTCCATTGGCCAATCTAGCTCCATCAGTACGAAATTTAATGCAAAAATGATGTAAAATATGCATCACTGAATCACCTTGACGTGACACGTGGCTGTCCTCCGATGAAACATATACAACTTAATGTTGACCATTTCGTAATTTGAACTAAATTAACTTTTAGATAAACGAGAGGAATTTTGTAACTTTAATATAGTCACATTCGCGCAATCTTTGCCTTTTAAATGCTCGAGAATATACTTGTAAACGTAAGACATAATCAATTATGACGATCAACGTCCGGTGATGCATTTACATTTGCGCAATTTTGACTTTTTAAAGACATGCCCAAGAATATATTTATCGCGTGAGTTATAATCAACTTTGACGATTAACGTCGGCGATAATAGCCGCCATCAAAATACCGTAACGTATAATGCGAGGAATTTTAATCGTGATACATAAATTCGCGTTTACGAGGATTTGTTATTGTGTCTTCGTGAAGGAAACAATAAAATAGACCGACAAATCCGTTCAATAGCCAATGGCGCTAAGTTAATGATCCTTGCTTGGTTACCATCTAACACGAACAACGTTACACAACACAATTACCTTAACATTCTCAAACGCACTAAATTCCACGGCCTTTACCGTCCATTTTCAGCTCGAGCGGGAAAATTACGCATCGCAAGTACTTCCTTATTTGTTCACTATTCCGCGCAGATACATAGCGCTTCGTGATACTTTAACGCCACACACACACACACACAAAAATGCACACGTCATTTTAACAGAACAAAAAAAAGGCGAGAGGAACCTCCTCAGCAATTCCCTCTTCACCATCATCGTCAATCGAATTGTTGTTTAACGTTTCGCGAGACACATGTACTTCAGTGCTCCGCAGGTTGAAAGGTCCCAATTCATACATACGTAAAAGCTCTTGCGCAACTCTTGTAGAAGTCCACGACCGCTTACTTTGAGTAGATCATTTTCTCGTACAGCAAAGCACCGGCTTATTAATCCATAAACGTGTAGCCTCGAAGATTCGAGATCCCGTACCCGAACGCTTGATATCCTGCGATCATCAGCTGAGAATTGTGTATCGTCCGCTGTCATAAAGATTCCCAATTCGAAATTGCTGTCGTACGGCAGGGCCAACGAGAAAAAAAACTTTCTTTCAGGCCCTTGATCGGCTGGTGATGGCCGAAGCCGACAGCGAGGCCGCCCTGAGGAGCAAAAGGACGATCGGCATACTACGACAGCTCTTCCCCGATATTTCCCAGGTGAGCAGTCGTGATACATGAATGTCAGAGAAATCCTGCAGAAGGCCAGGACTAGACTGACACGCCGAGCGGGCGTTTTTCATAAGCGAGGCTGTACATAAATTATCATCGCAGATTATATACCTCGCTCATATATCAAGGAGCAATACGACGTCCTTGAGCGATTCGCAATCGGGCTGAAATGCACTAATTGTAAAAAAACTTTTGACATTAGTTCCGCCGAACTGGGAACTTTGCTTTCGTCGATTTTTCGTAGATCTGTACCGTAAAAAAAAAAAAAAAAAAGAAGCAGTATTCGCTGAACACTTCACAGCCTTACATTCTTACCGAGAAAGTAACGCATACGATTTGAGAGGCAGCCAACGCATTAGCCAACTTACCCTTTGCTCATTCACTCGTACGCTCACGTACAGATCGATTTGTCTCGATCTCATTCTCCGACGGTCGATCTCATTCACTTATTCCGCATGAAGAGAGCGGAAAATGATTCGTTATGTTCGCGCTAGTAAAAAAGAATAATTGCGCTCCCGTCGATCCTTCCTGTTAACTATATATATATGTGAGATTTCTCGAGTTCTTCATTTTTTTTCTGAATCTTCGCTCTTGATCTCCAGTGCCACTTATACAATGAGAATTTTCAGGAGATCTCCAAGAATTATGTTAGGGGAAGTTTCATTACGGTGTCTAAACAAAAAACTGCGCAGTGCGAGGTAATCGTTCGACGGAGCAAGAGAGGCTCCCACCTATAAAAACTAAACATTCTCGGGAAAGTTTCTTTCTTGCGTGTGAAATTCCTTCTTGGCCGTGCTGCCTATTGAATTGTTCACGAATAACTTCCTAATTTGACTAATAATACGCTGTGCGAATTTTTTATCTCGTTAGCAAACGGTTTCCACAGCGTTGGCCAGCGCGGCTTCTTTTGCATGCGGTTGCATGTGCGTGCGCGTGCACGACAATGGCGATTGATTTATTGTTAGTAACGAACCTTAGCGGAATAGCCTGTGAGTTAGTTGTCCCGCGTTGTGCCGCGAAGTTGCGGTTCGCGCGAACCGGAAAATCGTTCGTGGAGGAATGTCGAAATTTCTCCGACGTAGCGTCCCCGAGTGATTGGACGTAACGCATGACAATTGGCGACGGTCGCACGAAGTGACATCGTAGGTTCTCTCGGGGTTACGGAATAACTGCATTTTTTTTACCGGGAATTACGTTTAATTCTGTCTTTGTATTTAAATTAGGATCGTAAAAATCTCATCTCTCTGGGGAATATCTGCTTTGACATCGAATATTACGTAAGAGCGGTGAACCTGATTTCTTATGACTTGTAGCGTCGTTGAAAGGAAGGCCGGTAACAATGCAATAAGAAACAATAAGTCAATCATACTTAATCGCAGCATCGATCAATCGTACGAATATTCATTCTGTTAGACGAACGATTGATCGGCTATTCGAAAAGATCCTCGTGCAAGCCGAAAGCGACGTAGTCCGCATCATTCATAGATGAAAAAGTGTCAACGATCATTGGCCACTGGGTCGATCGATATCATACCATCCATTGATCACGGCTGCGAAGTACGGCGATGTCTTGAAGCCCGAGTAAAAAAAAAAGAGAGAAGGATCGAGCAATCGCCATCCTGCAAGGCTCTCCAGCTCCTATTGTTTTCTAGAGAATCGAAGCAAAGGTCAACTCTATTATCGCGGAAGTCATTCGCGTCCTTGGCCCGGTCATCCTCCGCAATGTTCTCGGTGGCGGCGGTGCGGGCGGCGCCGGCGCGGGCGGTGGCAATACCGCGAACGGCGTCGAGAGGGACAACGACGGTACAAGCGTAATAGGCAAGTCGCCCTTCGATGATGATGAGGATAATGAGTCAAACACCTCGAACGGTTCCAAGGTGTCGATCTCGCTGCCGACATTTCCGCCCGATGAGGAGGAAGAGTCCAGCAGCTCTTCATCTACCACGTCATCCTCGATAACGACGGTAGAGAGCAGAGGCAATATTATTGCCACGACGACTACAGCAACACCAACAACAACAACAATACCGTCAGTGTCAGAAAACGAGGTCACCACTACGCAGTGACTGTTTGATCAGCAGCTCGGTAAAACTTTCGAGGTCATGACCTTGAGGAATCCTCACGAGGAATGCAGAATGCCTTGCGGAATGCCTTACCGCGCATTCAGGACTGCCGCGGCACCGCGCGTTGTCTACTTTGTGTGCTAATTACTCACTGGGTTACTCGAGAAAACGAGAAGCGAATCGATCGGCCAATTCGATCGACCACTCAGATCTCGAAGGATCTAATTGACCGCTAAGTTTTACCGGGCAACCAGGACTGCCGCGGTTGCGCACGTTTACGTTACATTGCTAACTGTTTTTTTTTTTCGTCCTCGTGTCTGCTATTTATCAACCTATTAATCGATTAATAATGTCGTATCGGCAACTTATGTCGCCACGATCCATTATTGCGATCTTACTCCACCAGAATCATAGAATCCATCAGAAAATTTTCTTCTACTGGTTCTGGGTCCTTTTCATCTTGTTATTTCGATTATCTATTTGTGTTTCTCGTCTGCAATTCATGCTATACATATGTGTGTGTTTTTATATATTCTGCATATATTTGCAGAATCATTCAAAAACTGTACTGAGACTCCTATTCTGTAACTCTTCTGACATGACAATTCGAGTATTGTTATATTGTCGTTGCGCAATTTTTATATACATATAATACCTGCGTAATGACAATATAACAATACCGACACTGTTGTGAAGAATTACAAAATAGGTGGCATATCTATCCAAAACTCTTATTTCTTCGTCATCTAACTCTGACGTAAGTTCAAGATCAGACTTCAATTTTTACATCGTCTCGCATATTTCTTCTCCTATGACTCATTTCAACTGCCAGATTTTTTTATCATGGCCTTCAGCTAGGTTTTGAAGTTTATTTCGAAACAATTTTTCACCAAACCGCCTTCTTCGTCCTTTCACTCAGTCATCTCTATTTTCAGTATACAGTAATTTTTCAGTCATGAGTTGTTGTAGAATAAATCAGTCTAGCGTGCCTGTAACAATTTTGAAAAATACCTCTTGCTTACTAGTAAATTTCTCACATAAAATTTACAGGATATTATTACAGAGATATAAGTTTTAAATGATAATCGGCAAATTATTCGTAATCAATGATCCAATACTTTTTGTTCGATGAATCATTAACGATTACGTGACACGCTCGAGAGATAGTACCTATAATCTAACATAAATAACAAGATATTTGTTGAGAATATTCTGTGTATAACTTGTTATTAATGCTGTTTATGTCTTGACGCATGTTATTTCGTAACATATCTGTGTTATTTATTCGTAATATTCGCATGTTATTTGTTTTGACATTGCTACGTAAAATTATAATCTATGTGACTAAAATATTTCAAAGTGTTAAATTAATATATTAATCACACTTGCTTTAGCTCTATACCTAGTGCACGGAAAAACTCGATTGAAAAATAATTTATGCAACGGAAGTAATATATATTATGAATAATTTATAGAAAATGTTGCTGGAATATTACGTTGGCCTAACTATACTTTGTAGACCCTGAAATTATGCAGGCGACCTAGTTGCTTTACGATCGCGACTTTTTGTGCACTTCTTTTTATCGAGGGAATCAACACAATGATTGGTTGATTAATAATCCAATAAGTCATTAACATTTTGTGTCAACAATATATTTATATGCCACGAGTGCTTGCGCTACGAGAAACGCACGTATAATACGATAAAACGATTAACGAATAAAGATTACTCTTTATTCGTTCCGGCAAGAAGTTCGCAAGGTATCGCCTGATTTATCATCTGATCCTTGTCAGCCATGGGAAATGTTTTTTTTTTTTTACAGGACGTGAACCCGGAATCAGAGAATCGAGTGAACGAAATCGGATCGGAATCACAGAACAACGAGGTGCGGGTGCAATTTGCGGACGAAGTGCCGAGCGACAGTTCGCCGCAGGAGTTGACGCCATTGGATGAGACCGAGGACGAGGACGAAAACAGAAACAAGAGATTCCTCTTCGGCTTCGGCGGCGGTTCCGGCGGGGGCGCCGGATCGGGCAACTTCCTCTTCGACATTATCAGGGTGAGTCGCGGTGTCGGTCCTAGGTATATTTCATCTTTTGGTAGCGCCGCGTGAAAAATGGAGAATCGAAATCCTGCACCCGAGAAAAAGACGAGCGAGAGAATGGGGAAGTTGAAGCGCCGTATAATGGCGCGCCGCGATCAATCTCTTGAATACACTTGATATACCAGTAACAGGCGAGTAACCGCAAGGTCTGCACCTAGCTGCAGACGGCAGTGAAAGTGCGCAACCGAATTGCCTTTAGCCACCGCCGCGTCGCCGCGCCGCCGCCGCTGCACCATCTGGTTACTATTCCAAGGTTCCTGACCTAGGCACGATCGGGCCTCGCGATAGAATTATCTTAGTCAAGATTCTCGCCAACCGGAGTCGGTGTCCTTGATTAAAGTCCACGCGATGAAATCCACGATTTCATACATGCGCGGCGATTCTAGAAGAAATACCGCGGATTAGTTAAACCGGGAATTAATAATAATAGAAGACAGATCGGATAAATCCTACCTTACTGTAATTACAAATACCATTTGCGGTCAAATCAATTTTAATTTTTGTTACAAAGAAATAGTTATACTCCTAGATTGATGATTTTTGCTCTTTTATCGATCCTTTTTAATTTCAATGTTTTATTTTTTTAATGTCAATTTTTTTTCTTTAAAAATTTGAAATTAGTAATAAAAAAATTCAATAATTAGACATTCAATAACTAGAGTATGTGCAATTATTAACGTTAAGAAAGTACACGTTATTGGTTAAGAATTAAGGAAAGTGTGCGAGATGTCACGTATTACCGCTAGAAGGCGTGTGTAAGTATAACAGAATTTCCGAGAGTGCTCTGTGATCAAAAGAATATGATATATAGACGATTTGTAAAAGTGTAATAAGAGGTGCCGTAGGGTGGAGAATTGAAATTATGAACCTAACCGTTCGAGGCCTACTGGTTGCTCTCGCTGGTAGGATTATCCTCGTCAGAGAGTTTGTTTACTGCGGCATCTTTAATTTTTTTGCTTTAAAATTCGTTACTCGTCAAAGAGATATTTTTTGCTGAGACGAGTATTGCTTCTAGTGTTACTGGCGGAAATCACGTAACATAATGCACATGTCTCCGTTGCAATATTAGTAATATATTATTTTAACAATTACACTGTAATAAAATTTCAGTCTTAATTCAATTTTTTTATTTAAAAAAATTTGTTAATAAAGTATTAATGTATGTATTGATAAATTTAAATCTACCGTACGCGCGACGTGTTACGAAATGATTTTTTTTTATCGTATGTATGCCTTTTCCAAGGTAAATTGCTCGTGTGCGTGTTGAATTGTCGCGTGTCACGTGGAAGCGCGTGAACAATAACGGTGTCGCGCACCAACGATACTTGGCGACCGGTTCTTTTTTCTTTTGCGCGCAACGTCTATATCGGCGAAACGGGTTTTTCGCCGACGGGACAGATGCAATCACGCGAAAATCGAGTCACCGTTTCCAATGGCCGTTCTGTCACCGTTATCCACTTTCCTAGCAAAAAGACATTATTACGAGCGGCTCGAAGCGATTCCAGACCGGTCGGTCGATCGGCCGGTCGGCGCGCTGCGCGACCCTTCACCGTTCGCGGATTGAGAAAACGAGAAACTCGCTACGTGACCGGTACGTCCATTTGTTTCTTGCTGAAGGTATTCACCTGTTAATAAGCGACGAATTATGACAGAGACTCGACAGAGGCACCTTGCCCTCGTATTGCAACGAATGACACTTTACACGATTTCACTTGAGATTCATCACGACGGAAGATTTTTAACGGTTGTGAAATAAAATTGATCCTTATCACGTAACGGAGGCATTTAATTGATTAAGAAATTAGCCGGCAAGATTTTTTTAAAAATAATTATGAATAGAATATTTACCGCGTAACGGAGAGATTTAATTATGGCATTAAGAAATTAGTCGGAAATGACATCATCGGCGCGGCGTAATAAGAGGTGGACTCTTTAAAGACGTCTGGTAGTAATTTTTCCATTGACATTTTAGACTGCGACATCGCAGCAGTCGGTCAACAGCGGGCAGCTTTCAACTATTTAACAAGCGTGCATATTTATGTGGGCAAAGTTCATATGAAGATATTGTACGCAATACCGTTAACGACATCGATGTGCTCTCGTCGATATCGAACCGGCTTTCATTCACCTTTGCGAACTTTGCCTTTGCGGAGACGTGCAATCGTTAAGCAATTAATTCCTCTCCATTTTTCACGACGGCGAGATGCGACCCGACTGCGTGGAAAAAAAATCACCGGCGAGCGAGAGCGACCACTCCTCACCCCTAGGCTCCTCCCGAGAGGAGCCCTACTTCGCCGCAATCATACGGGACATTTTAACAAACCACTTTCCAGCCATCATTGCAGGACATTCCAGGAGTTCGCGCGGAGTTCCGCCGAGAGAGATAGCGATCTCTCGCGCGATCTATCACGCGAGCGGAGATCCCGCGGGGAAAAATGAGCGAGAGAGAGAGAGAGAGAGAGAAAGAGTGAGAGAAACGCGATTCTTCTCCAACAAGGGGCAAGGGGCAAAGAGCGGACAAGTAAACAAAACTCTTCTCGTCTCTGTTCTCGTTTAGCAAGCGGCCGACGGGGCGGCAAGAGCGGCGGGCACGGTGTACCGTGTCGTGGCCGGTACACAGAGCCTCGGGCTCGGGCTGAGCGCCACGCGCGACGTGGGCCCGGCCGCCCCAGCTGCCGCCAACTCCGCTGGCACCCCGACATCCGGCGCACCCTCGACCGCCGCCCCAGGAGCCGGCATTCTACCACCGGTACGCCAAATCCTTCCGACACGCCTAAGTGTCCGCCGACAGAGAGTACGGCGACTGCGCTTCTACGACCGGGCCCGATAAGATACCGAATGGCTCGCATATGGCATTTTCTTCTTTTAGAGGATATCGTTCGGCGCGACTTTGATGACAGAGCGCGTCGAACGACTGTTATCCGCTCTGAAAGTGCGAGGAAAACGATCGTCAGCGTCATGTAGACACACTATGCGTTTATCGCTTCGCGCTAAGAGGACGTGACGCCTTAGCGTGCCGTGAACGCAGATGAGCGTTTTCTTCTTGTTTGTCAATGTGAGACAGACGACGATTGATGCTGCACGTATATAGCACCAATCGATTTTATCGGGTTCGCTCATTAACTCTCTTTCTTCCTCTTTCTATATCTGTCTCATTTTACTAACATATATATATATATACATACATATATGCACTGTACATGATTTCTCTTTCTTCTCCTTCTATCTCACTCTTTACTTTTTATACCTTTTATACCTTCTTTCATTTCATAATCATCTTCAGCACGTCCTTGTGTGAAAAATCAATATTCATCTTCAGTGTTATTATTGATACTCAAAAATACGTCTTTAAAATCCATCATATATTACATCGTAATTTTCTTAAAATATTTATTATATTAGATTTATTATATTGATTACCTTTATTATATTTCCGTTTATATTGGGAAACAGTTTCTATAATCGAATGGCTCGGATAATAGAGATTTACTTATTATTAGTTTCGATAATAGCAGCTGACGCAGTGACTTATTAGTTCCGATATAAGAGCTGACGTTTAAAAAATTGAAATCGAACACGTTGAAGTCTTATTATCCAAATGGTTCAGTTAATAAGAACTCAGCTATGATTTCGTACATATACAATTAAGTATAAACTTGCTTGTGTAAATGGAATTAAACGGAGTTCTACCGTATGGAGTTCTACGCGTTCATTTTTGTAACGTAATCACATAATCGCGCGCTACATGCAAAAGCAATACAAACTGCACTTCTTACGTTATAACCTGCAATTGCGTGTTGTCTTAATTGTTCCATTATCTTCAATCGACTATTTCCTTCGCGTAACTCACCTCCAATCTCGTTCGCATTGTATCGCACTTTATCCTTTATCTGCATGCCGCACTTTTTCACACATAACTACGCATCACTCTCTCGACTTTTGGTTCGTATGACGTTCCTCTAAATCTTACTTTCTACCACAATGACTTAATCCCTCACGACGACTTATTCTGAACAGGTTACCGACACTCTTCCTGTTCTGACATCTTTCTCTTCTTCCTCTCACACACCGCGTTTCTCCTTCCTTTATACAAAGCATCTACCGATCTTGCCTCTGTCTTGCTGCGCATGAATTGCATATCAAGATCTCTAATATATACACATATATATATATACCTGTTTTATATGCGTACGTGTATATGTTTGAAAGTAAAATGCAACACAGCAAATTCTCTAATCTGCCGTTCCCTCTGTTGTAACTATAAAACTGTTTTCTTCATACGCTACAACTTCTTTTGTATTCACATGCACTTTTTTTTACATGTTTAATGTTGCAACGAGGTCTTGCCATGTAATCTGTACAAATTGCGCATCCTTAACTCCAAACTAGATGTTACTTTATAAATTCCTACTCAGACATAGAGTTGAAGTACAACTAGTTGACTAAAACGAGTAATACATTTACATAATATTCGGCTTGCATTAAAAATAATAGAGTCACCACTTCTTAAAATACACGAATAGCACATTAACGTATTTTAGACATCTCTCTTTAATCCTTTGCGTTATCTTAATTTCATTGTTTTTTTAAATTGCGTTTAGCAACGTTTAAAAAATCTAGCAATTAAGAACATGATAATTTGTAAAATTCTTCATTGGCCAGTTCAATTTGTTTTCTTCAACTCTAGAATATTTACCGGATATAATTTTGCCTATCTCGTTCCAAATCCCATCTTGTTCTTGTTCCACCCGGCCAACGGTCCCGACGCAACGCTGACAACCACCGACTAAACTTAAGAGACTTTTTTTTTATGTGGCGTACTGACCGGCTGATGGACAGGCCGATTCATTCGGGATCTGGCGGCCGCCATTGATCAGTGCCGATTCTCTCGTTGTTGTGATCTTCGTACTCGTCCACTGCACCGTATATACCTAGCGGCCCGTAGTTTGTATCTTGTTCCATCGTATTTTAGACGCACCCGGAGTAAACGCACCCTTTTTATTTCGTCGCGGCAGATGAACCGGTTGAAAGAGATAACGATAATATCAGAGACCGCTCGGATGAAAAGCGAAATCCAACGATCGTTAGATCGACAAGCAGAAATTTTCCGTCGCGACCGAACCGGTTTGTCTGCCTGGCGGAGGTCTCGTAGATATTGTAAATTGAATAATCTACGACCTGTACAAACTCGACGCGCTCGTAACTGGAAAATTCGTCTGAACGTCAAATTTTGATATCATTCTCATTACTATTCTCGTACTGCGAATTATTTAGATACGAAGCGTATTATTGAGAGTTGGTCGTGGCGTATGGTTTATTTATCCCGTTGTCACCATTGAGCACTTGGCGATTTTCACCTTTTCATGGTGCACGCGCAGGGTGTCCATATAGAAATCCTTAGCCGGATGTCGATCCACGATTGACTCACCGTGAGGATCGCCCTCTCCGCTCGAGAGTATAGCCTCGAATAATTCCCAAGTTGGGTGAGGAAAAAAAAGAGGACGTATGGACACCCTGCAGATAAACCTCGTGCATTACGAGCCGAAGGAGCGCACGTAAGGATCGTAGCAGCAAGATCGATGGATCGTATGTCGTAGCCGCAAGTAGGAATAAGGATGTGAGAGCACCGTAGTGTCGGGAGCGCTGGAGTTGGACGTGGAGCTGCAATACACACCGCAATTTTATATTACTCCCCAACAAACAAACAAACAAACAAAGTATTGTAATTAATTCCTGTATGTATTTTGTACTTACTCGCTTCCGCCGCGCGAGGTCCCGGAATTCCGTCCGGGAGCGCGAACGGCGCGGGGGCTTACCTCTGCCTGCCCGCCGACTAACGCCGACGGATCTCTGTAATCTTTCCAGCTGGTGGCCGGAAGCGGAAGTAATCAGCTGGGCGGCTCCTCGGGCACCGCCGAGCACGGAAAGTCGGACGAAACGCAGGAAGCCGTACCCGGTCCAGTCACCAGGTTCTTCGTCATCGCCAATCGAGGACTCTCGAATCTCGTCCAGGATCTCATACTCGTGAGTACAGATAGACTTTCACCGATCACTAACCTTTCGGTTTCAAACGCAAAATCTACCTCCGCAATCCGAATCTTACTTTACTAAACGCGCGCACGTGTTATTGTTTCGATTAATATTATTAAAATTTTTCCTATCACGTAAAGACATAACTATTAAGGTACTTTTTATAAGTGTAGGACGTTCCGTCTCAAGTAAATAAATTAACTGAAGATTAGAATAACGTAATCATATAACCGTGGAGATAATTATTTAGAATTTTCATAAATTGCGCTCATTCTCGAGGAGAATGTATCACCGGCAATCGATTCCTACGCGTAATGGGAGGGATAATTGGTAAACGACAATCAAGCACCGTCACAGCTTGCAGCTAGTGCTAACAATATGATCATACGCGACTACTTAATAACATATATTGAAAAACGTCTGCGTCAATCCGCTGTATACTACAAACAGACAACACAGCGAGAGAGAGCTCATTATTCTTCATACCGGACGTCGATTATATATTTCAAGATTTTAATGATTTTAATGACTGAGATCACGCGAAAGTAAACCTGTGACGAAATATCAAACAACTACGTCGAAGAGCGATTGATTAATAGACGCCAAATTGAATAATCTTATTAGACAATTGTGTCAGAAATAAATCTAACGGTATATAGTTTATTTAGAAACTGCGAGAGTTCAATTCCGGTGTGTATGGGTACGCAACCGCGCAAACGATTGCGTCGTCTCTGACGCATATGAGTTGTTCATATCTCTATTTCATTATCTACGAGAAAACTGCGAGCGCGATTTCAACATCGTTGGAACGAGGAAAAGGATTAGGGAAACTTTTCTTTCTTTATATACTAGGAATCACGGCGTGTTCACCGGTTCGCCGCGTGAAAAATTCGCGAAGTCCCGCGCTACAAATCCAATACAGGATTCAAATAAGCGCGAATACGAAAAACTTTATACTGCACGTGACGTAATTCCGATTGCGATCCTACAATAAGTAATCCTATTGTCGTTGCAAGCGGCTGCGTTTGTCGACACGCGATAATCGCTGCTCGCAAGCGGATTCGTTTCTTCAACGGCTTGGCGAAGTGAAATTCGCGTCGTGATTTCTTATATAAAATTACGAAATTAATTAAGACGGAACGCGCGACAAACGAACGACGCAAAGCGCGAAACGAAAGCGTTTCGAGTCTTTAAAAATAAATAAATAAATATCAATATCGCAACTCGATCGGATAATCGGTTAGTGAAAGATGTACAAAATGTTCAACGCTCTGTAACAAATTGCGTTAAAAATCCATTTGGAATTAATACGAAAGATCGTGGATGAAAAATGAGACACGGTGTCAAATAAATTAGACTTGAAATGCACCGTATACGCGAGATTATAGGTAAACGCGCGTTGGAGAATTTCATAAAGTCTTTTTTAAATCTGAAGAATTAAGGAGACATTAGTCTGTCATAATATTTACAGCTCGGAACAAGCTTATGGCATAATACTTTATTAAGGTCGAGTGTTGCAGCGTTAAGGCCGCGTTGCCTCGGCCTGCGATCGTTTGATTAGAGCCGTTCGTAGAGCGGCGGTCGGGGAGATTAGAGACTTCACGGTGGTCAGTCACGTGTTCGGCAGTCCGAAAGTCGAACGAACGTACTTATAGCGCCGCGACGCGTCGCGTCGCGTCGTTTCAGATATAAACCGGGCCATTACGCAAGCACACCGCCGTCCGTCGGGATCGATGGAAAGTAAAAATGTAAGCGACTTTCTCTATGAAATAGCGCGTCCATTTGCCAGCTGCAACTTATGCAAGAGCCGATCCCGGCACGCAAGATCGCCGGAGGCGACAACTGGCCGCGGCTACTGCCGTCGAAATCGCACGCTTCGCGTTACGCTACGCTTTGTGTATGGACGACTGCCCTACATTTAATTTATCACAAAAGGATCTCTCGTGCCAGCCGAGCGCGGATCAGGGAGCTGCGAAAGTGCTGCGCGAGTCCTTCCCTTTGTCTTTCCGCATTTTTCGCATATCAACACGCTTCACTAGAAATTGCAATTTCGAAAACGATGAATATTCATTCATATGCATTGGATTAGGGAATTTAATGCATGGATTTTGAAAGTTGTCTGATTTCAGTAATATGGAAAGTTCATTTCACAGTCTAATTTACATCTCTCGTAAATTGCGGAAAGATGCGGAACGGCTGAATCAATTTCTATAGCGTGGCAAACATCATATATATGCAGGAAGATGATGAGAAAGAATTGACATTTATCACTCGCGTTATATTTCATACGTTGTCAAGCGGGATTGGCGCTTTCACTTTGTGATTTAATCAATTTTAAGCTCATAGAACATCAAATCAGTGCGGCAGTAGTTGATTGAGCATTGTCCAGCTAAAAAATTATGAAGATTATCATCTCGCACTGTTCAAAGGTGCTCAAACCGAACGGTGTGGTAGACTCCTAAACGATATTGCAATAGGATAGAATCTCGTATTAGAATAGGATCTGTTTCGTTACAATAACTGACTTCTTAATCTTCGATCTAAATTGCACTGCAATCAAAGAATCGCGTGTTTCGCAATATATAATCGATCGATAATATGCTATTAATTGGTAGAATATTAATGGCAGCCCGAAAACCATCACTCAAGCACCATTAAAATACAAAAACCGGAACTGAACTTATTGTTAGACCTTACGCGATCACGCAAGGATTCTTTTATTCATTCCGCGGTACGATTCACTATGATTTTTTAAACCAATGATTTTTACGCTCGTAACACTCGGAATTGCCGCGCGAACCGTGGAAAATGATTCACCTTAGATCGTCTGATCGACGTAACCGTGACGTTTATTCTTGCTCGGCCATTTGTTACTTCCGTACAACGACTTGAGGATTTTGTAATCAGTTAATAGCAGATAATCATAGCTATTATCGGAGATAATAATAATTCATGTACATAAAGAATGAACGATAAATTTATAAGTTTATTAATAAAAAAAGATGTAATAAAATTATTGATACGAAATTGGTAATTGTTTTTTACATTAGTATTTATGAAAAAACGATTATAAATATTAAAAAGAGAAAGAAGATCACATTAATATTAATTTAACTCACTATTCTTCTTATATCATCACGAGTCCATGACGTTTGCAAAAGTGAAAGAAAAAATTCACGGAAGATCTTAATGTAATCTAAACTGACACATTATTAATATTATTAACATAATAAAAAAACTTTCCATTTGGATTAATCTGAAGACACCGAATTAAATAAGTCTAATTGTTATTATAAATATTCTCAACAAAATACCGATCACATTAAGCAATAAATGCAAATTAGCCTCGCTTTTTCCTTTAAAGCTGAATAATGAAGCATGTATGTAGGAGAAAAAAAGATAAAATGATATATTTAGATATAAGTTTGTAAAGATAAAGGAAATCCAAATCGATCGACGTCCGACAGTAAGATATGGCATGCAATTAAAAGAACATAAAAAAGAATAATGTATTAATTAATGACAGCGGCGCGAGTGCGTAAACGTAAATAATCTTGCGAAAACTCTGAATAGCGGAAACACCGGTTTTGCGTGTATTACAGTCACCGGCTCAAATTACCGCTTAGATTATATACAACTGTATTATGTCTGCAAAGAAATCGTATAGCGTAATGTAAATTAGGATTTCGCGGTAATCGAACGACTGTGCAACGACAGGAAGCCGTTCGAGCAAAGAGCGCAAAGAGAATGGAAAAAGATCCTGATTTTTGTGTGCCGGCCGCCGCATTTTTTTTTTTTTTTGGCACCATGTCTCGCGTCGGTCATAATCGTTTTATTATGCCGCGATTTGCGGCATTAAATTCTCTTGTGCGAGGCATTTTGCCTCGCGAGGATCGTCGCGGCTGCGCCGGTTCGAAAGCGTTCACGCTTCGTGCGCCGCGCGGAATTCCTCGATCCGCTAAACTCTGCTGCGCGTCGCGATTTTGCGCGATTAAACGAAGACGCGAGCACAACAGGAAGGAATTTTACATTGTCCGCGAAACACGCAACGTAGCGCTCGTGTTTTTTCCCCTTCATCTCCTTCTCTAACTGGTTCTCCGAAATTTTCCCCATAAATTTAGCTCTCGTGTTAAGTAAAATAATTTAAGAAAATTGAAAAGATTGCGATGTGTGAAAAAAAATATTATTATTTGAGGGTTGTTTAAGTAGTGCCTTGCTCTAGAAATTCGTATCGGATATAATTCGTAATAGTCGATAGAAGTAGATCGTCAGATCGGATCGTACCTATACACAATTATCCAAATATCTGATTGTCCAATTGAAGATCAATTCGCTCTAATTTGCAGCGTCTGGCGGCCACGAGCGAGCGCTTCGTCAACTTCAAGGCGCGACTCATCACCTCCATCATCTAAGGTCATCTCATTCTGAGAACTGGGATGAGGAAGCAGAAGAGGGGCCCCGCCGGCGTTGGTATCGCCATGTGGAGGCACCACCGCCGAGCCGCCTTTGCCAGTAGGAGCACGGGTACGACGTTGGCAACAGAACCAATCTCACGGTGTTGCCCCCTTGTCCCTGAGATCCTGAACTCAATTCCTTCGTCGATGGCCGTCGAGCTTTTCGCGAAAACACAAGACACTTCGCCGCCAAACGCATTCCCCGCCCCAAAGCGACCTCGACTCGGTTCCGTTCGACTTCGTTCACTCCACTGTCTAATTCCTTTTAATTTGTTTTTATTCCACTTAAATTCTCACTCTAGCTCTGTCGCCCTTTTTTCTTTCTCCCCTTCTACTTCTCTCCCTACACTTCTCTGATTTCCGTCTTTCAGTCAACTATAGAATAACAATAATGAATAACGAATAATAAAGAAATTTCCGTAAGCGATCGTCGTTTTAGGACGATCGAAATTTTAAACGTTACGGCGTGGCTCGTGCCGCCATGGTACGATGGAAGCACATCGAGAGAGACGAGTGAAACTGTAAAATCGTTTTGAATTTGTGATACGACACGCTCTCCGTTGACAGTTTCGAACGAAATGATTCATGCACCAACGATCACGGGTCGAAAATTTCTCCGCGTAGCTCTCTCGTGTAGCAGAGAGTCATCCCTCGGCTAAAAAATATTTCAATTCGTACTTAAAGTAAGAATAAATAATCTATTTTTTTTTTATTTAAAAGGTATATGATACGGAAGGCTTATGGTTTTTTTTTAATAGGGGTAAGACGCGTGCTGTTAAAAGGATCGAAGAACAAAGTCAAATAATTTTTTTTCCTTCGATTGTTTACGCGCGAACGAAACGTTTCTCGATTAATCAGCGTCGAGCACGAGACAAACAAAATACTTGTACATAGCCCATCCCAGAATAGTGCCAGGCATTTACTGTTTCTACCCATTTGTGTTTCTACCACTGCTTTCTTATCCAATTATATCTCCCGTACCTACATTTCTCTTCTCCTTGAAAATTGCGGTGACGTAAAACTTGTGAAATTTAGACACAATCTAAATACGCTAAACACTGTTAATTAAAGATAGAGTGAAACCAAAATCACTTTCTTATGTATGTAACTTCAATTGATTGACGGTTCGTGGAAGCCTGTCACCGCAGTGAACTATCGGAGACAAAGATTTTCCCTTCTTGGATTTTCACCGAACGGGAAAATCCAATAAGCGATACAATTTAACAAAATGTAATGTCGTCAGCAACAACTGTTGGAGACAACGCGGCGTTTCTCGTCCTTGTACCGAGCGTATTATTTCTCTATGTAAAGCGTCCCTGTTGTTTTTTGTAGTGCAAATAAATATTATTATAATAAGAACCTAGTTGTATATACCTACGTCTATACCTAAATCAAAGCACACACAAGCCAAAGATATTAGGCACCTATATTTTTTCATTTACCTTCTATCTGTATTTTTTTCCAATTGGTTATCAGTATTATACATAAGTTTAAAGGATTCATTCAAACAAAGGATAAATTCACCATAAACGCCATAAATAAATTTTCGAGCTACAACGTTAAATGATGATTGCAAGGTTCCCAATATTTTTGGCCAAGGCTGTATGTATGTACGCAGTTACCATTTGCAAACACATCAATGATTTATTACAATTTTTTTACAAAAATATAATTAGAAAAATATTTTGATACAGATATTAATAAAATTGACGAAGTCCACTAGGCCCTTAGAATTTACAGATTAGATCCGAGTAACAAAATATTATAATATGATAAAGCTAAACAAAAATAACAAAGCACAGTAGAACAGTTATTTGTTATCATTATTGTTTCCTAATTTTATAAATAAAGTATCGTGTAATATACACGATCGTATACGTATGTAATTCATTCTAAAGTCGCATCAATAATCATTTAATAATGTATCATATTATAATATTAATCACTATCATCAAGAATCATTGTTCCTCCATAGAAACCATTATGAAGAAATAATCTTTGAAGAAAATTTTGTTGTTTGTATGTGTGTTTCGAAATAAATTTAACTTTATTTCTATTTTAAAGATCGATAATTTTAGTTAAATAATATTCAAGAAGCAAATACCAATTTCTTCTTGATAATGTGGCAGAATATATTTTCAAATCTCTAAACACGCGCTATTATATTAAAATTTCATGTGTGATATAAAAATTGAACATTTAGATCACGTATAGAATTAGGTCCATTGCACGAAACTTATACCGTTTCATAAACTATAAGTTATTATTAACAATTGTACAATTTTTTAATCTTATTTAATATTTACCACAATTTCTCTCTTCCTCTCGCTCTCTTTCTCTCTCTATTAAATCATTTATTCCTATCTACATATTATTATACGCATTTGTGTGTATATAGCATCTGTATCAATATTATTGATTCTGGACTCCGCTTATCACGTGTTTTGATCCTCGATCGACAAATCCGTGTCGAGTTCATGTTCCGAAATTTCGCAAGAGTCCCAACGGTATAGCTAAGATGGTGAAACCAAAGGCGGTGCTTCCTCTTCCGGGATGCCCACGTAAATTGGATCACCCAAGCGAACCATCCCGCATGGTCCTCGCAGCGCAAGATGAATTCCCATAACTGGACTGTCGCCAACTGCAGGTCGAATCTGTGGATCTGTTACCTGCCTGTAACTGTGCAAAAAAATCTCTCATTATTATCGGCACGAGATGAACCTATAAAGTTAGCATGACATTCTGTTGATATTAAAAAAATAAATAATAACAGTTCCAGTAGCACTTTTTATAGTTCCTTATAAAAATAAAAAAAGTGTTTCATATTTTTTATGTATAAAAAAACCAAAAATCATGCTCACTTCATAGATTCGCACGAGATACTATAGTTATATTTAAATTTTTCGACATCTTGCGTAAAATATTCTGTGCTATATACTTTTTGCTATATATGTTTACCGCAATAAATTATATTATTTGACAACAATACAGTTTTATTTTATGTACTTTTTCAAAGTTTTCAGAGGCTCCGCATTAGAATGTTTTGTGCCAGTCTCTGGATCTATCGTAGTCATGATACATCTTGTACAGGGCCTAACGTTTCTCATAATGACATTCCCGATTTTCATCCAATCCCATTTATCTTCTTCGTAAGCAGTGGCACCTTTGACCACGAAATTCATGCGAAATTGTTGCGGAGTGACCGGTTCGTCCAGTCGGCTATTAAGATCTGCTATTGACGTTTCGTTGATCAGACTGAAGCTCGTTTCATCTGGATAGGCTCCCTGTTAAGATATTTTTTTTATATTTTATTTAGAATGTTGTTAATGAAATAATTAATAATTCTTTATGATTAATTCAAGATTAATATACTTATAATCGTATTTCTTGTATTATAACTTTCCTCAATGTTATATAAATGCCATAAGAATTTTCTTTTCTTGCACAATCAACTTGACAGTAACGTTAGTGACAGATGCACGATCCAAGAAGGACAAGTAAGTCAACTTTGTTATAACGGAAGCGCAAAGTTAAAAAGCGATCTCTCCGTTAGAAACATTTATGAGGCCGATGTGATTACGATGGCCAGAAGGTTATTTAGATGTTCAAAAATAAAAAATGAAACGAATACAAATAAAGAAAGTAATTATATTAAAAATTATCGTACTCACCAAGTCTCCCTCTTCTTCTAAAGGAAAGATCTTATGATTTCTCTGTCTCACTGATTTCACCGATCGATCTAATGGATAATAGACCAATCTGAGACCGGTATCCTCCTGAAGGATGAAGCGTGACAACCAACGGGCAACCTCCTCACCACAATCGCGTGCCGGTACCGCTTGACCCCACACAGCAACTCGAAAACTCTTGCCGCGAATTTGTGCAAGATCCACCGACATCGACATCATGCCCGGAGCGCGAAATGTAAGCACAGAACCGGAAATACTAGGCGATACCTTCAACGTTAGAGGAAGACCATGGATGAGAGCTTCCACATAGTTGGAATTATCCACAATCAGCTTCATTTTTAATTGAGCAAGTAAAATGTGTAACAATGAAAGGAAAACATGGCTGAGCGACCGTGTTTATAGCACGTGTCTATCAGCCGCTTCGATCTACGTTCAGTAGAATATGTAAACTATTCTCTCGATAGCTCTTTCATTAATTTATTTTCATGTCTATTCTAACTTGTAACGCAATATTTAATAATTACATACAACGAGTGCAATGAGAGTGGTTAGATGATTATTATATATAAAAATAATATAATTATGTAGTATTAAAATAATTCTTTAGGAAAATATTTTCTCTATTCTCTTTTTCTTGTATAATAACAAAGAAAATTAATTCCGCAGCTTCTTACATTGATCATTTTGGGCAGCTGCCTGGCAGTGAGAAATCGTCCCTCGAGATCGATGACAAGCAATGTCCGATCTCTCAACCAACCGGACTTTAGTCCCAATGCCGTGCATTCCATCTCCGTCATGCGAATTGCACCGAGTGATTTGACCGGGTACACGATCAAATCGCTCAATTCTCCGACTTTTCGCCACTTCGACGGTGGCTGAGGCTTTTGTTTTCGATTCCACCACCACCAGATGAAGAACACCGCCGTGCCGACGCCCACAGCGACAGTTGTAACGTATGTAAGTCGCGTCCTGTCTAAAAAGACATATAAAAAATAAAATACAAATTAATACGTCATAAGTTATATAAGAAGAAGCCATGTGATTTTATGTACTTATAACATATAAGCGCTCTTCTTTAAATCAATCTGACATTGGCCCAGTCAACAGTTTCATAATAGATGATTCTGTGATATTGTTCTAGAGACCACTTGATTCATTTCTTAGGTCACATCTTACGATGGACGTGATCGATCACATAAAAAGTCGTACTCATTTCTTTCCCGTAGCAGATAAAAATTGGGTCCGCACGACGCTTAACCGGTTTTATGAGTTCCGGAAACGTTTTATGAAATGGGCACTAAACGAGGTCATCTGGCCGTTTACCGTAATGCAATGTGTAGTGGTTTTAAATTACGATGCACTTAACGTTACTAGAAGAAGGCGGAAGACGACGAAAGTAATTTCAATTGCAAAACATATAGTTTCCATATAAATGCGCACACGTGCCTTATTGTACTACAATGTAATGACGTAAACTCCATATTTAAAGAAAAAAAATGCGACACGTTGTTATTTCAAAAATGTTGGATGGGCATACGAGATGCGGTGTACGTTTATTGTTTCGCGCTCTTTTTGTGTAGTACGTATTTCCGCTAATGTAATGATATGCATACGTGCGAGACCGGTTAACGCGTACCGGTACGCGATACAATTAAGTTCAACGACGCGCAACGAGCTGGTATAATGCAGAGTTCATAGAATATTCCGTCTGTGTGAGGTTTTCAATATCTTTACCTTTTTACACCATAAGTTCTTTTGTTAGAGTAAAATCCATTTGCAGTTGTAAGTATGTGACTGCCCGTGAGATCCGTTAATTTGACCCACTAAATGTCTTGTTGATTATCACTCTGCATGCAAATCACGAAAAGTTTACTGTTTCTTCGGTTTCTTTCGGTTTCGGCACTGCACTTCAAATGATGTCATCGTATCAATGTAACGATGAATTTTTGCAATGCAAAATTTACGATGTAAATTTTGACGTTGATTTAAAAATTTAAAAACTCATGTCAAATCATAAAATACGATCCTTAGAAAAATATTCACATGCAGTCAAATTTTCTAATAAATAGAAAATATAGGGCGTGCAAATGTATATTTCTTTATCGTATCAATAAGATAAGAATTGAAGAATAAATATTTCTTTCAGTGCAAATATATTCGTTTCAATAAAATACACAATGTATCGCAACTGCAAGACAGACAGTAACGATTAGCGATTAAAAAATGCTGAGTAACGATAATCGACTTTATAAATAACTCAAACTTATCACGTAAACACATAAACACACGGCTAGATATAAGAGAGGAACAACATTTTTTTATCTTCATTATCACGAGCTTCACTCAATTTTCTAAAAATCGAGAGAAATGCTTAATGGAAAAGTACAATAAGAGAGAGATGACCGGTGCGTCCAAATAATGCAGACTTAATTCATCTGAATGAGATGTTGATTCGTCACGATGGCCTTCTCGAACGATGAATAAAAAAGGAGCGAAGTAGAAGTAAAAACAAGTTATCTTCGTTTAGGTTGCCCATATATTTGTTATGCAAATTAACGTATGTATTTTTAAACTTCAAGTTTATATCGCAGTCAAAATATACGACATATGCCGTCGTATATGCTTGTAAAATTATGTATTTTTTATTCCCGACTACTATCTGTTGACAAAAGATGGAAGAAGTTTGCATTTTACCGAGGTCGAATCGATCGTTACTTTAAATTCTTGATAACTACAATATAATTTTGTGTCAACTTTTGCTTACATGTTTTTGGCTATAAACAGAACGACAAGCACGTAACTTTATTCGATCCCTTTATTCGGAAACATATTTTTCTCTCCTACTAAAAGGGGAGAAATCCCCCATTGTAGGCTTCTAGGGGACCACGCACCCTTCTCAGAATCAATACTGCAAGAAACAGGCATTATTCGAGCACGAGGGAAACTTGTGCTCGAAGCGAAGTTGTCCCTTTAACGTTTCGAGCATAACTAACTTGATCGCTTCGTCTCGACTTAAAAAGATTAAATTAAATTAAATTTACGGATTATTGACGATAATAGTATGAATGAATGAAATAATATTGTAATGACAAATTTCTATTAAGCTAATTGCACGATAAATTATTATCGATATAAGCAATAACTTGTGATAAATTATAGTTTTTATTATAATTGCTAATAAGAAATCGCGTGTTTGTCAAACGTTATTTGTTTCATAGTAATACTTAATGACGAAGTACAGCTATCGATCGTAAGAGGATTAAGATTGACAAGCACGAAGATATCTGTCTTTCATAGTAAATGTACCGTGCGAAACGTCGGATTCCATGTAGTCATTCCCCGAGTTATATATATCTTTCCACTCTTACGCCTTTCCGGAATGTTAGCTGTATATTCATACTAGTTTTATTAAATATCTCATCGATAAATAAACGTGTGTAATAATGGGAAAATTACGTGTATGAATAAACATATTTCTTATCTTATATTACAAATTATTATAACTCGTATCATTTCTAAATAACGCTCCAAGATGTGATATAAAAAACAAACTGAACTATCATTCAAATATAAAAATATTTTCTATATCGTACACACACTGCATTAAGACAATTAATTTTATTTAATAGCATGCTAAAGATAAGTAAAAAAAATGTACGAGTATTTTGCTTTGTTTGAAATAAAGATTATACACGAATATCTGAATTTCTCATTCTTTGCGCTCTTCTAATTGAATTGAATTTGATTTACGACATATTTGTAATAATCCACTCTCGTTATCAGCATCATATATCAAAAAAATGGTATCCAAGCTCCTTATCTCATACTGCATACTATAATTTATCTCTCGCTTTTTCTCCTTCATCATGCATTACATCACACTTGCTATATATAATTTCTTAAATCTACGCATATTTGAACATTTTCCATTAACATCTTTTTACACATTAGACCTGGTAATAATTCATACTATTATTAATCTATTTAATTTGTATTTTTCGGGTTAAAAAAATGAATCTGAAATACATATAAATCGAAATAATTCTGTGTCTTTTGCCTTTTGGATTTTTTCGTCGTATTTCCATCTGCATCCGCTTCATATCAATTTTCGTTTTCTTTTTTAGTTAATTTCTTTCATTTTCTTTGACTCTTTATCAATCTCGCGTACATTGACCTGTTCTCAATTCCAATTCAACCGGCACGCTTATTCCTCTCGAAAAGAAAATCAACCAAAAAGAATATCCTATATTAGTTTGAAGGTCACAAAAATAGTCGCGGCAATTATCAAATGACAAGTGCATATTTACCCATAATCACTGTCAAAATCGGCAAAATCACGATGAACTATGCAGACAAGATGTGATCTCAGGAACAGTTCTCAACAAGGATCTTCACGGATTCCTCGGGACCGTCCCGAGGGATAGGATGGATCAGTCGGCCTCGTCAAACCTCGTCTCTTGGCAGCTTTCGCGGCACTGATTCACGTGCACATCACAAGCATCTCCTTCTCCACGACGTGAACACCGTTATCTATCTTCGCGTTACGTTCTGCTATATCCTTCCACCATTATAGTCACACAGCCGTCGGAGTAGTCGCCGGCGCGTCGACATATGCGAAGCAGAGGGCATCGATGTGGTGTGCAAAGACCGTCGTCGTCGTCCAGAATTGGAACGCCGCTTTCTACAGGCGTGGGTAGCACATGCGCCGATCTACTCCGGCCAGTCGCTCCGAATTTTTTAAATGCGACAAGGGCGATTCCGATCAAACTCCGATTAACTTAATCATTCATTAATTTATCAAGCAATATATATAATAATATATAATATATAATATATATAATATATATATATAATATATTGTTTATTAATATGGATAGAATAATTTATTATGTTTTATGTTTAATAACAAGGTTTTTTAATTATATTATATTAGATTAGATTAGAGACAACAAATTATACAGTTAGAAATTTTGCAGTAAGAAATTCTGCTGAATTAATTATTGATCATTAATTAAAATTTTGCTCATTCTTAATTTATATAATCATACAGCTTTCATATAGAATTGTTTTCAACTTATTCTTTCTCTAAAGGAAATAATTTTCCAAAGTGACATTTCAACAAAGTACAGAAAAAAGCATTGGAGTAAAGAAAAGCTATTATACAATATATCAAAAATTTCAGATCTGTTTCACAAAAAGAAATATAAAATGCAAAATTTTTCAATTTAATTTAATAATTCTTATATCATTATAATTAGATTTTCTTGAGTTTTGTACGTACAATGTATTATATATAATAGTTAAAATTAGATTATCATTGAGAGAAAGAGATACGACCAATGATATCCCCAACAAAAAATACTATTAAAAACCATTGATTTTATAAAAGTTTGCGCGACAGTTAATATTTAAATAGTTAGCTTATAACATAATAATTTTATAATTTATTTCAAAAACATGTATTTAGAACTCGATAATATTCAATTTTAATTTAAAATTGCAATTTTATCGCTATTATTCGGATTTGATTATTCATACGAGTGATAATTGTAGAAAATAATGTACTACTTTTATGGCAGTATGATAATATATAAAAAGCTAATTATTTAGGTCTATTTAAAATAAAATAAAAATTATATCCTTTATCATTTATATATTTATATAATCGATAATATTGATATTGCCTAGAATTGATGATCTTTTCTCAACGCGTTGTCACTTCAAATTTCGCGGCTTGCAATATGCGCAGATAAAACCAGAACGAACATCAGGCCGGTCAGATCGCAGGCGTCAGGTGCCCCACCACGCTGCCACCAATGAACTGTCATCCATTCCAGTGAGCCTATACTCGCTCATCGATGATTTCATGGAGATGTGATTATTTTACAATCGCGAAAAGAGTGTTCGGTGTGTTTTCGCCGAGGTTTCCGGAGAGAATCGACAAACCGATTGATTGATTATAGCTCCTGGATAGACGGAAACTCGCGCGACATATCGGTGCTACGTCGTCGAAGGCGTAAACAGAAAAGTGCGCAGCTGTTCCTTCAATTAAATATACTTTGTTTTTGTATCAAGGTAGGTCAAACACACTGGATCACCGATGATCCATCTCTCCCTCAAAAAATTCTAGTTGTATCCTCGCGTTCAAATTTTGAAATCCAGACTGTTAAAAGAATTTCGGAAGCTTCAATTTCATGATTTTATGGATTAAAGGTTAAAATTGAGAATGCATGAATTACTGAGTATTGATGCAGAAATTACTGCTCGTACGTCACAGCTAATTTGTGTTATTATCGATACCTTTAACGAGCGTTTCTTGCATACTTAAAAGCAGATCAGATGTTTGTTGCGTGTAGCCACGTTGCCGTCTGTTATTTTCAGTTGCGATATGATAAGCAAATCCCACTGGGAAAATAATATTATCATTTAACGCGTTGGTCCACAGTTAAAGAAAAATTGAGCTGTCAGTTAAAAATATCTTTGATTATTTCGTTTATCTTGTTTAATTAAATATATGCTGCTTTGTTACAGATATCAGTATGCCCATTTTATACAGTGTCGTGGCCCGCGGGACTGTCATATTGGCAAAACATGCTGCATGCGTCGGAAATTTTGAAGAGGTCACAGCGAAAATCTTGGCAAAAATACCACCGGACAATGACAAACTCACATACTCGCAAGGGCCTTATCTCTTTCACTACATCTGCGAGGATCGCCTTATTTACATGTGCATTACCGACGATGTATGTATTAGATGCATTGCAACAGATATTAAGCTATATTAAAAATAGTGTATTAAATCTATTAAAGATATATAATGTAAAATTTTGTTCCAGGATTTTCAAAGATCCAGGGCATTTTTGTATCTCAATGAAATTAAGAGAAGATTCTTGGCTGTTTATGGACCAGGTGCTCAAACTGCCGTAGCTTATGCCATGAACACAGAATTCGGCCATGTTTTGGCCAATGAAATGGTACTGTCACAATTTATTATGTAACATGAAACATTGTTTTCAAATCAGTGTCTCACCGCAACTCTATGTTTTCCCTCTTTAGAAGCATTATAGCGAATCCAAAGATCTTGATAGATTATCGCAGGTTCATGGCGAATTAGATGAGCTTAAGGATATTATGGTAAAAAATATTGACAATATAGCGATGCGTGGCGAACGGTTGGAACTGCTTGTAAACAAAACGGAAAATTTGTCTGCCAATGTATGTAAAAGTGTGCTCGCTATTAATACTGTTAATCGAATTGAATATTATAGTAAAATTTGATTTTTTATTCTAGTCTGTGACGTTCAGGAAGACAAGTAGAAACCTAGCACGCTCCTTATTTTGGAAGAATGTCAAAATCTATGTTATTGTCGGCGCAATTTTAATTGTAAGTCTAATATTGCAATCAATATTCGGATCTTTCTAATTTCTATTGCAATTTATGGAATTATTCATTTTTTTCCTGTTACAGGTTGTAATATACGTGATTGTTTCTATAACATGCGGAGGCTTGGCTTGGCAAAAATGTGTGGGAAATTAATGCATATATATGTATGTATAATACAGTGATCAACCGAGTGAATAAATACGGATGGAGGAAAAATGCGCAAAAATCTAGTGTATGAGACTGATAAAAACCGTTAGATCCGCGACATTATTTACAAATTTATTATATCTTAGTTTAAATAATACGATAAGACTATTGTACTAAACATATATGTATATATACACACATCTGCAATATTTGTCCTTATAATGCTTACGTTATCGTTATTTTAAAAAACTCGGAACACAATTTATATTCTTTGACAAGGCATATATATATATATAACACATTTTATTTTTTACACCAAAATATGCATCATATTATATCTTATTTTATGAAAAGGCAAAAATAAAAATGTTTTCTTGTTCAACTCCTACATGTTTTTACAACTTGCCCAGTTTCATTGTAAAGCAAATATATTGTATTTCAAACTATATAAAATAAAATATAATTGTCGGTCATAATATTTTCAATTATTCTTGATTTTAATCGGAAGAAACATTAGAAATATATTTATGTAGAGAAAATTAAGCAAAAAAAAGAAAAGAACAGATCAAAAAAAATTAATTTGCTCTGATTTCGTCTTCGGAAAATCGACGCGGTATCGGCGGACCGTCATTCGGATCTCGTTATTCATCCGAGGGGGTCCATCCTCTCGCTACGGAGCGTGCGCCGCGATGCAACGACGTCGTTCGGCGCAGCGGCGTGCGACGGGTGGCGGCGTCGTGGCGCGGGCGCTCTCCCATCGCGAAGCCCGGGCCATCGCAGCAGCCCGGCGGCTCTCGCAGGATATCGATGTCTCGCGCGGCGCGCCCTTCGGGAGGTGCCGAAGTGTCTCCGTGCCTCGTATACACGCGTCACGATTGATCGTGCTCTGAACCCAAACTCCGAGATTTTGGGAAAAAACGGTCCTCCCTTTTTTATATCGTCCCGTCCTCCCTTCTTCCCGTTCACCAAGTTTTACGATCCCTTTCGTAAAAAAAAAAAAAGAAACGAATCCGTCGACAGGCCGGTAACGAGAAAAGGGAGAAAAATAAACAGGAAGTTTAATCGAGAAGCGCGCGTTTTTTTTTTGTTTGTTGCGTCTATCCCTTCGGATGGCAAAAAGGGTAGCGGTGTAAAAAGCTCGCGCGAAAACGCGCGACCCGATACGCACCCCGAGAGGCGAGCCGCTCAAAAGTATATACGCGTATGCGTGAGAAACGCGTTGGTGCGTGTGTTTACAACCTGTGGGTGGTGCGGCAGCGGCAGCGGCGGCGTTAGGCACCGATTACCGGGATATGGATTCGCGGTGGACCCCGATGGAGGCGGAGGACGGCAGATGACGGGATCCGCGGCCGGAGTCTGGCGCGAGAGGAGGACGCCGAATGAAAGTGAAAACTGTGGAACTGCTGCACCGCGGGCACTGCGTGATGCGAGAGGGAGGATGCGTCGCCCCCGGGAGAACAACGACGAAGGGTGCTGGGAAGATGAACGCCGGAAGGCGACGAATGCCTTGAGCTCCCCCCGTAAGTGCGTTTCTTTCCCTTTCGCCGGCTCCCTTCGTGCGAGACGCGCGAGACGCGCCGAGGTCGCGGCATTCGGCATTGGAGGGAAAAGCTGTTATAAACGCGCGTTAACGAATTCTCGCTTTGCGTTAGATAAACGCGAGCGTTTCGTAATTCGATTTCTGCGGCTCGAAATCGACATGCGCCACGTTGAACCACGGGATGGATTATATCATCATTTACACGTAGTTAAATTTATCCGTTATATTTATCCGATATTTTGCACGAAATTCTAAAGAAATATCGTAAGATCGATTGGAGACTATTCTTGAAATACCTAGATGGCCGAAATTTGCAGAAATATTTTTGGATCGGTTTTTACTTGTAGAGAAAATCTATAAAGACCTCACACAAATAGTTCTCGTATTTGAGATAAATAATTCAAAATGGAAGGCCCTTCCCGAAAAGTAATCTTCGGAACTAGTAAATAATAAAGCTTCATTATTTATTTAAATTCATTAAAATTTTACTGTATCTACCTAATAAGATTTTAATTTTGGAATATTTCTCGTAAATAATGAGATGTGCTCATCGATTTTTATAAATATCATGCTAATATTAAGTAGCTACATTTTTCTACGTTCCGATGCAGTCCGATAGCTCTCGGCCTATCATTTGCCGACATTTATTTTTCATCCCGTTGCGTGCTTTATTGCGTGCATCTAGCGACGAGAGACGTATAGTTTAGATAAAACATCGCGAGCGCGACATCGCCGGCGCAAAAAGGCAATGAACTGCTACGCGGCATGAACGTTGGAGTGGAAAATACGCTACCTTTCGCCGCACGCGACGGGAGCAACGGAAAATCGTTGCTGCGGAATTCTGGGAAAACAACAACTGTACCAGAGAATACAGCGATAATATTTAACACTGCTAGATATAGAATCTTCGTATCGATTCTAGTAAACGTATAATCCTTCCGCATTACCATACCGATGTAGTTACAGTCCCTCCTTTACGTCTTGCTTATATTGCGACGCCTGTGAATTATTCTATCTAAATATGAAAGCTCCAATAAGTTATTTAGTTCCGTTAATTTATCCAGTTATTTATTAAAATTCAGAGTATTCATTGACAGTCTATTTATTTTTTATTCAACAAACAAATCTATACAATAAATAACGTGAAGCGTTAGAAGGTGAATCTCTTAAACGGAAGAGATGAAAATTTTAATTATTATAATATTCAAGAACAATATGAAAAAGTGATTATATGTCATCCCTGAACGATAATTCATAATAGATATTATTCTGTATGCCGCAAAACTATCTGTGTTACTGCGGTCGATCCGAAACGTAGGCGTCTGACCCTAGGTTTTATTTCTGCTGTGCCCAGTGTTTCCCTAATGCGCGCGGGGGAGTCGTTTTGATGGAGAAATATTCGATGCCACGTATACCGGCCATAAAACGTTCGACGTACGGAAGGGTCCGTCCTCGGGCGTTAGGGACGAGCGGGAAGAATGTTCATAGACGTTAGAGACCCCCGCAAGGTCCTGGCAAGGAAGCGTTTTACTGGCTCTGGTCTGAATCACTCGTAGGACGACAAATGTCCTCCGAATGTACAAGAACACTGGCTTTCTTCGCAGCGAATAAGCGAATAAACCGAGTTGCTTGATATGATTTCAGCAGGTATCTTTTAACACCTTCGCGCCTGGTAATTTTTTTATTTTTCTAAAACTGAAAGCAGGATAAAAATAAACTTAAGTCTACAGTTGATTGCCGCAGAATCTGTCATTATAAGCAAAATAAAAACTATAAAATTTGTTTTAAAATCTCGTGTTTATACTTGTTTGTTTGAAGTTTAAAACATTTATCTGTCACAAATTCAAACAGAGGAAATATCAAATTATAAAACTCAGAGTATTAAAATTTAAAAAACTTTTAAAATGTATACAAATTTTTAATTTTGTATAATATAAAAAATTAATTAAATATTTTTAACCTTTTTAATTAAACATTTTTACCTAAAAAAAATAACTATACAGTTTACGTAAAAATACAATTTAATATTTCTGTTTTATACGATATTTTTTAAAGCAATTGCCTTTTCATTTGATTTTCAGGTTAAAGCTAATTTTATTAAAACTCATTTTGATTAATTTGAACTTAAAGAAACATACATCAATAACCAGCTATAGATTTTAAAAATATATAGAACTACGTCAACGGCAACCTATAGTTTATAGAAAGAATACTACGTCATACTACGTAATACTACGTCAGCGGTACGAATGTATTAATTTAGCTGTAACTCAATCGTCATTTACATTTCGCGTGATCGTATCCTTGTCAATATTCAATTAGTAAATGCCGTCGCGATAAATGCGTGTATAAAAGCGAGCCCCTGGCATTCTTCAATTTCCTCGCTGTCGAAATACGAAAGCGCGACGTTTGACAATGGTGTAGGATTACGTGCGAAGCGCGGCTCGAGTTTCGGGGGCTGTAATCGCCGAAGGCTCGACGGTAAACTTTCGCGAGGGAGTAATTATGCATTCCCCGCGCACGCAGTAGCGTCTTAGCGGAATATCTTGTTACTTGCAGGTAACAACAACTCCGGCGTACAGCGAGCTTGCCTATAAGACTTAGAAACAACATGACTAAGCGCCTAAGCACATAAGTCCGCTTCTCGCAAGATAAACAGTAACTGCGATATACGTTTTGCATGCTGTACTCGCGTCAATGAATTTTAATTAAACTTTGCCGATAAAATCTACAAGGCTTCACTTCGTGTCTTTTAAGTTAATAAAGTATCGTATACGCAATGTACACAGAAACTCTAGTTATATCAATTCTGTGACCGCTGGGAAACCGTCGTGATCCATAATGTTTCACAGTTTCAATTGAAATTATCAGCGCGCTGCGAACGGGATAATTAACTCGAAGAGAGCCAGATTTAATTTCCAATCTGACGTAATTAGTTTCCTACGAAGTACGTCCCTGCACCTTACGTAATTAAGGGCATCGAGGTCCGCTCCCGAGATTGCCCGGCAGCAGTCCGACGAAGTTTCTTTACTTAAAACACGCGATAAGTATATATAGAATTATGAAGCTACATCGTAATACTTTATATTACTTTTACTGAGAGATCAAAAATAATTTTTATTATATGAAAGATAATATAATTACTGAAAAGAATAAATAATTTTGCCTCAAAACAAAGATAACGCTAAGAAAAAGCTGAAGAATGCAGATAAAACCAAAAAATGTTATAAACTTCATGTTTTTAATTACGACCAATTTATTCACATGTCACATGACAATCCTTGAGGCAAAATCAGCTTCATAGTGATATATGCACGCTTGAGCGGAGGGTCTTAAAGAGCAATTCTCATCAACTACCCCCGAATTCATCGACGACTAATAACCGAGATAAGCGTCGAAATGAAAATCATACGCCTTCCCGGCGTGTGCTCGGCGCGATCGTCTCTTTTGCAAAGGGGTAAAGGAGAGCGCCTTTGATATCCGGGCTTGTTGTTGGGACGAGGGCCACGCGCGTGTTCACCGACTCTTTTCACGAGAATATTTTCGCATCGCGCGGTCGAGAACAGCCCCTCTCGCTTCCTCTCTCGCGCGAGAGGCAGCGGTGGAGGAGGCGCAGTATGACGTTGGGGACGATCTGTCTCTCAAGGGCCAATTCTTTCAGGCTGCAAACCCGGTGGATTGTGTGCGCAAGGGCCTACCCTCTTTAGAATTCCCCGTCCGTAGAGGAGCGAGGAGCTCGTGTCGAAGACAAAGACGAGGGGATTCGCCGCGCGCGAAAGGGGGGGAAGGGACGAAAGGAGCGAGAAGAGGCGCGAGGGAGAGTCCGGAGACTCTCACCGAGTGGGAGAGGTGCGGTTGAGCCCGAGGGGAAGTGAAAAAGCGAGAGGGAGATAAGGAGATAAGGAAGATGGGCGAGAGCTCGCCGGATCTCAGCCTCCGGCTACGCCAGGGCAGCTCCGACTCCAGAGACTCCTTCTACATGGACTTCGCACAGGTACGCGGGGCGGGGAGGGGGGAGGAAGGAAAATGAGGCATCTTGTAGATTAAAAATCATCTGTCTTGAATCTGAGCCAAGGGTAATTATCTGGAAAGATTTCGGATGGCGTGGCGGCGCGCGCGAATTATGAGGCTGCGAGTTTCTTGACTCGCCACCATTTCACTTACAGCGGATTATTACGAAAAGGGCAACTAACTAAATTCACAGATTTTTTACCCTTTAAAGTATTTTTTTAAAATCCGCGTTGATTACTTTGTAGAACCACAAAATTTTATTTTCACATAAAATTATTATAAATGAGATTTATCCGTATATACGTACGAAAATTCAATAATTACTGTTTACACTTTCGTTGATTAATATAGAGCGACACAAGATAATTTTTGGAACACGAGTGTCAGAGTTTGATAAATTTCTATTAAGTACTCGAGCGTGATATTCTCAGCATCCGCATTTGACCCTTCTGAAAACGGATTAATGCGCAGCGATGTGTCAATATATAACTGAACTACTGCATCAGTAAAGTCACATGCCCCGAAAAACAAATTCAATATCCTCGTGAATATCCTTTAAAGTAGGACAATTGTAAAATTGGCTGTGGAAACGGATAAATCATGTATGCTATTCGATTAAAGACTCTGTTAAATATTTACTCCGTGTCATTCACGTCACATTTGGCGAACGCAGCGCTTTCTTATTGCTATTGATTTATCGATATTACATTTACTTAATTAATTTTTCTAAGATATTGATTATGTAACTTATATACGGGGGAAACATTTCGATATTCTAAAAATTATTTTGCTAAAAATGAAACGATCCTTAAGGATTTAAAATTATATAAAATCGGCATAGCAACACCAATTACTGTAACGTATCTCTTGATTTTATTCCACAGGGTATCGATTCCGATATCGAGGAAGTGACGCGGCCCGGCGACAATAATTCCGATCCCATGCTGGAGAATCATCTGGAGGAGAACGGGAACGACTTGCCGCCAATCGAGGACATTACGACGATCCCCGAGGAGGCCTCGGAAGAATTAAGGGAGGAAGAGGAGGCGGCCGCGTTGGAAGCCGCGCTTCGAACGCCAGACGGTGGCACGATTAGCACGGAAATCGACAAACCGTCGACCGCAACGATCATGCAGGAGTGAGTATAACGGAAAGTGCCTTTTCCCCTTGGGTACCACCCATCCCACAACGTACGTACGCCACTCGAGACATATCTCGCTCGCTTTCCCTCGTCGCTAATTTTCACGATAGTTAACAATCCACGCGCGACGCGTCTCGCGAGATAACTAAACAACCTGGCAGTGAATAAACAGAACGAATGAGCAGCATTTACGGAGCAGAATAAATAATCTTTGTTTTTTAAGCGTAAATTTTTAATTGCAAATTTTTAATTTTATATATAATTGATCGATTTAGAATTGAAAAGCGAAAAAATTATATTAATATTCCGCGTTCAGACGCGAGACTGTTAAGAAACAAGAATTTCGACGTTGATTCGACCGCTTTGTATCGATTGTTACCGCTTTGTATGCACCACCGCAACGTAAATTATAGCCTCCCCTAAAGAGCCGGCGTTTCTCCACGTCTCTTCATTGGAGTGACCAACGCCCGGCGGTCCCAGCGGGCAGCATTAATCACCGTCTGCGATTAACGCGCATTTCCCTCGGTTCCCAGTATACGACCCTGTACTCCGTACACCGCCGGCAATTAAACTTGATCGTGAAAAATTCCTCGGCGATTTCGTAGCGACATGCCGATTTCCTCCGCACCATCAATCCCACATCCGTTCAACGTGAATTCTTTTCGACAACTTCCGTTGAACGCGAGGAACTGTCTTAACGCCAGTTCTTTTATTCACAATTACTATACAGCTGATGCAACAAGCATAATATTGTTTAAATATATCTATTAATATAATATTATTACTTGGCCATGAGTATAAAGCATCCTCAATTTATTGGATTTTCTTGGAAAAAGTAGTAATAACAGCCTTGGAGGCCGTTAACAAAATATTAAAATTGTTATAAAAATAAATATTTTTTAAATTTATTTTTCGTTAGGTATAGAACGTTTACATTAATTTATGCGAGTGCTTTATACTTTATAATATTATTATATCTGTATATAATATTTTCGCGAGCAATCTAAAACCATTATTCATATACATAATTTCAAATAAACGAGAATCCCATTTGCCTATCATCTGGTCATTGTTGAAAGTTGGTTTAATTGAAAGGAAATGCGTGCAGCTTCCGATACGAATTTCGTACAGTAATGCGACGGCTTTTGTTCGCGCTTTGGCTTTTACGCGTCGTTCGTCGCGGTGTCTCCAATAGAACCGATTTACCGGACCGAATGCCAAGTCCCTCTCGAATTCCGGCATACGGGAGCGTCTGGTTTGCGCGCGTATTCGGTCCATCCGCGGAACTCGATTACTTCCGCCGGATATCGAACGTGAATTCGCGTGCACGCGGGACGACCATCGGCGTCAGAGTTAATATTGACCTGTCACTCGGTTATGGCTTACGCTCGATCTCCGTCCGTGTCTTCCCTCTCGCTTCCGGTTCGACCTTCGGAGGCCTTCTCTAACCACCCTTCCCCCTTCCCCAAGTCTGCATCGCGTGTCGGAACTCTCCGAATCCTCTTCTCCAATCTATCAGAAAAGCAGCTTATTCCGTCGATTTACATGCAGATTCAATCAACGTAGAGATGTACTCAAGACGACATTTCGCATTTCGACCGCGGGAGAAATTTACATCGTGATATATGTATCTTTTGAAAACAAATTTCTAAGCATACTATATATATATATATATATATATATATATATATATATATGTGTGTGTACCGACCAAAAACATGATAAGATTAATGGAAAATAAAAAGAGGTAAATTTAAAGAGGTAAAAAAATTTAGCGTTCTTAGAATTGAGAGACACCGTATTGAAGTTATTTCAGTAGTGTCAAAAATGTAATCATGCACGTCTCATTTCGGGAAGGACAGGGATAAAAACTTTCCGGTCATATCAA